ACGCTCCAACAGATCCACGTCCCTCTTATGGTGGGGGCACCAGAACTGGACGCAGTATTCGAGGTGGGGTCTCACAAGAGCAGAGTAAAGGGGGAGAATCCCCTCTCTTGCCCTGCTGGCCACGCTTCTCTTGATCCTTCCCAGGATGCGGTTGGCCTTCTGGGCCGCAGCTCGGAGGTCCGGGGAAGAAGTGGATATTTACGTGTAAATGCAATTGCCTCCAAAGCCCCAACTGGTAGAGTAGACCTAATCTGCCCTTCATTTAGCGAAGATGGAGCTATTCCTGGGGTTTCATGTGCTCCCCAAGCTCACAAATCAGGTGGAAGTCCATTAACAGTGCAACTAGCTGTGCCAGCCTGCGATTTCTCTTACTCAACCAGTAGCAGCTTTGACATAAGAGTCTGCGTGGGGCCAGAGCTGCACCTGCGAGTAACGCTGTGAGCAACAGCGTGAAGAAGCGGCACCGAAAATCCAGACTGGGCGCGCAAAATTTGTCTTCACAGTGGGTTGAAATAAACTGGAAGTGAAATAACGGGTTCCACTTACTCAAAAGAAGGTCGGGCTGAAACAGTTTTCCCAGGTTTCCGTAGGAAGTGACGGCGCCGCGGCCGAGCTGCCAGCGGAGAAATATGGAAAATAATAATTGCCCTAAATCTCCTGCTACCAAATGATCTGCAATTAAAGGAAATAGCTTATTTTCAAATGCAGAGCAGCTGTCCGACAGCTGAACCTGCTGCTGATCAAAGTTGATCAAAGGATTCTGGGGATTATACATTATGGACAATCTACAGGGGGAAAAATAAATAAAAAAAAAGTAGTAGTCCCTGCTTCTGGCATGCTTATCAGAGTCCATTGAAGTAAACAGGACTTTTTGTTGGTTTTAATGCAGATCTGATAAGCTCTGTAGAATGTAAATCAGTTCATTAAAATGTGTAAAGCACTTAAATGAAATAAAAGAGAAAACAGTTTCACTTTTATAGGGTGTTTATGGCATATAAAGTACAATAAAATCACAATTATTCTGAAAAAAAAATGCCATACTCAGTATGTTTTTCTGGGGAAGATTTAAAATTTTTAAATTGTGATTTTTGTCAAAACCACTACTCTGACTCTAAAAATCGTATTTTATTACTGTGTAATGTTTTCTGTATAATCTTCATACCGTATCTGCCTCAAGCATGTGATATTTGTGTGGGTTTGTGCGTATTTATATATACAGGTATATATGTATGTGTGTGTATATATGAACCCAGGGATCCAAATGAATATCGAACAGCTCCTTTATTGGTAGGACGCTGCCTAAGCTGGTGGTATGTAAGAATAAAAAAAGAAAGAAATGAGAAAAAAGGCAGAGGCATGACCTGTGTTGTCTTCTGACATGACACTTCACTTGACAGTCTTAACTCTGATCCCCGTAGCGCTGCCCGCTTGGTTCTGTCTCCTGGTACAATATTCTGAATGCTGAGGTGACTCTGCAAATGCTGACGTAATATTCATTTATCTGAGGCTTTCGGGAAGTTTTATCCACGCTACGTGGATGGGATTCCATGCTGATGTTACCTGAGGCATATATACGGGTTTACGTAAAATTGACTGCGTCTGCGTTAGCCCTGTAAGAGTGATGCATAAACTGGCAGTTGACACCTTTTAGTGCTTTGGAGCCTTCATGCTTTGATTTCTGAAAAACGCTTTGTTTTTTTTTGTTTTTTTCCCCCCTTCCCCTTGCAGTTACTTCAATGAGAATCAATATCCAGACGAGGCAAAGAGAGAAGAAATTGCAAACGCCTGTAATGCAGTTATACAAAAGCCAGGTGAGCAGCTGATCGTGGTGTCCTTTGCAAAGGCAACTGCAATTAGATTTCCACATCTCCAACTAAGTTCAGCGAATCTCATTTTACAGCTGTTACTAACAAATGTGATGCTCCGAACTAATAGTCAGCTTCTTCTTGAGCATTCTCTTAACTCTCGTCGCTCGGAGCTGCCCTACTTGGATGAACGGGGCAGTCGATGCGGTTTTCAAACCTGAGGGCCAATGTCTGCAACGTCAGTTCCCACCGCTGGAGATCTGGAGTATGAGTTGGGCACCCAAACGTTTCATTTATACAGCTTCGGAAATGGCATCGCTAAGAAAATAAACGTGTCGGAAAGGCTTTCATCCGCTGCGTTCGGTTCTTTCAAAGTGCTTATTACAAGCACGCAGTGGCAATCTGAGGATTTTATTCCACTCTCTGAAAGTGGGTTCTGCTGGTTCCCTTTTACGGGTTGGCAGACCAAGGCTTTGTGGAGATGATAGAGCAGATCCTCAGAGGAGTAAGGAGCACAGCTTTGCTGTCTTTCCGTTTTCTTTCCAAATTATAGGCAGGGGTCTCGTATTGGAATCTGGGTATTAATGTAGGACTTTGCATTTGGGCCAACAAGTTGAATTTTCCCAGTTCCTGGAGGAGTTGTGCTTGGGAGAGGAGCATGAATATTCAAGTGTATTAGTGGATGCACCTGCCTTTGCTTAGTTTTGCTAACCAAACATAGTTATGTTGGATTTGTTTAGATTTTTATATAACCAGAATTAAAAACGAAGGCAAAGGAACGCCAAGGCGTGACTCGTGAACACTGGGCAGTCACAGGATAGCACAGAACCACCGAGCAGTTTAGGCTGGAAGGGATATCTGGAGATCATCTGGTCAGGCAGGACCAGCTTAGCTTAGGGTGCTCAGACCTTTACCTCGTTCAGTTTTGGATATATCCAAACCCAGAGGTTTTCCTGCCTCCAGGCCCCTGTTCCACAATGCTGAGCATTCTAATGGCAGAATACTTTTCCCCAAAATTCCCTCTGTTTTATGTGTTGCTTCTTGTCTTTTTGGGCTGGAAGCACAGCGATCCAGCAGGTAGAGCACCGAGGAGGTCGGGGATTTATTCCTGCCTGTGCGTCTGCTTGGTTTAGCAGCTCTGAACAAATCCCTGTGTCGCAGGATGGGTAAAATCCTGTGAGTGGGACTGATGCAAAGCGTTAGGAAGCAGCATAGCCACCCGTTTCCAGATTTTTCTTACACTTGTCTCCTCTCTCCTTACTTAAGTTTGCAGATTGCTGCAATTATGCGTTTCGTACGCTGAATAAATAAACTTTGAGCAACAGTCTGAAGCAGGGGAGCCTTCTCCCCACGTAGCCCTGGGATGCAGCTACAGCGAGCGGAGCGGAGGCCAGCTGAAGAGGTTTCCGTGCCGTTCCTACGATGCTGAATCCCTCCAGCCTTCCCTTTTTTACGCTGGTGATCTGGAGAAGGGATTGTCTCATGTAGCTGACTGGTGGTCGCTGGGGTTTTATTTGCTGGTTTGAGTGTAAAACTCCAGGGATCTGGTTTCCAATTTCCCCACGCCCCTCTTCTCCCAGAAGAAGCCACAGGTGTCTGCGCACAACTGGGAGGGTGGCCAGTGCCGGAGAGGAGGGAGAGCAGGTTGGAGGGGGGACACACAAAATCTCTTCCTTTTGCTGCTGAAGAAAACACGTCGTCGAGCTGTATCCTCGTGGCACATACTAAGAGAAGTAGCCCAGTGGTTTGCAGTTGTGGCAGGGGTGTGAATTGAATTTTTTTTGAAACTCGGTTTTATCCTCAAACTGGAAAGAGCAACTCTCTATTCTTCTCCAGCTCTGGATTTTAGTTGATTGAAGCTGCAAAGAAATTTCAGATTTTAAAAAAAAGAAGAAAGGCTACTTTGTTTTTAGAGAGATATTTGGCATTTATCACCGTAACATCTAAGCACAATACTTTGATTCACATAAAATTCACTTTATTCTCAGTTATAATAACTTTTTGGCGCTGTTTGTGTTTCACGGGTTTATCACATGAGTACGAGTCTTTTGCCTACCTCTGCAACCCAGGGAGTAACAATGCTGGTTTGTTTTTCTTCCCCTGTTACTTTCCTAGGAAAAAAGTTGTCAGATTTGGAGCGAGTTACGTCCCTTAAAGTGTACAATTGGTTTGCCAACAGAAGAAAGGAAATCAAGAGAAGAGCCAATATCGGTAATGTATCAGAGCGCCTGCTTTTAGGGTTTAGCGGGTGCACTTGCTCAAGAGAGATGGAAATTACGTAAGATTGTACTAATGAAAATACTGGAGGTTCTGACATCCTTTATAGAAATGCAGAGCAATTTTTAAAATTAGTCTCTCGCTGTTCCAGGGGTTTTTTTTTAAAATATGAGTAGGAATTTAATTTATGGAATTCCGTCATCGGTGCAGGAAAATGGCGCGGTCATTAAGTTTTACTGGAAGATGAGTTTTAAAAACCCAAGTGAACATTCTGTTGGCAGAAGGAGAGTCGTATTTCCCTGTGCTCAGGTTCCTATGACTATCCAAAATAAAATCTGAAATAAAACTTCAAAGTATCTGCACTGGAAATAAGAGAAGTGGAGACGATTGCAAGTTGGCAGCCTCAGCGTGCTGTTTAAATGAAAAGTGAAGGTTGTGAAGAGCTTTGATCTAGTTGTGCGTTTCCTTGCGTTGGTTTTGCATTGAGCTGTGCTTGTTTCTTCAGCCCAAGCCTGGGGGTGTCTTTTCTTACTCCCATCCCTGAGAACCCCCAGGGATCTAAGAGTCCAGATGAAGTGTTTTACATCTCCGATCCAGCCAGTAGGACCGAAGGTTCTGCAAGCCAGCTGCTTATCCTGGTCCTACCTGTGCCCCATTTGGCTTTCCAAGGGGTTGCACAGTGACGAGTGGCTGGGACAAAGTGGTAATTCTTGGGGATCAGCATAAAACAGAAGTGATTTCAGAGTTAGGTTCTTCGTGTGGGTCACTGCTTGTAGAGGGAATTAGAAGTGGCTCTGAAGTTGTGAGGAGTAGACCTTCTAATGGGAATAAATGTGAGGCATTTTAAGAAGAATAAACTCGTAACAGTGGCTGGGATTCACCAAACTTTGACAATGCAGAATTTTATGCTCTTTTGAGAACTACTCGGAATTGCGTTTACAATATGTAGACGAACGGAGAATCCGTGTGTTCTTGTTCACCAGTGTTTTTGCAAATATCAAATGCCTTTTTGCTGACTGCTGCTTTTCGCCCTGTTGGTCACTAAGAAAAAACGCCTTTTTACATCTTTTAATGTGTGTTGCTGAAATTTAACCAACATTTATTTTTCTAAAAATGAAGCCTGTCTGTCGGAAGGTGGGGGGAACAAAGCCGAGTCAGTCTCAGGTGGATGGCGTTGGAGCTATGTCTGTAGCTCATGAGGAAGAGGGTTAGAAGGAGATCAGAAAGACCAAGGGGTGCTTTAGATGCCTGGATCCTACAGGAAGATGAAGATATGTGTGTTTTTAAATCCCTTAAGTGCTTTCTGTCTGTTTTCAGTTTCGCAACCTTCCCAAATACTGGAGAGCAAAGAGGAAGAGGCTAAGAACTAACTCTGTTCTTCCAGTTATTCTAACTTCTTCAGGATAGGGGGGAAAAAAGTTTTATTTTAATTACTCTAATGCATCAGATAAATTAGGGATCCATTTGCTTTTTTCGAAGAAGCAGCAATCCTGGAGAGCCATGGAATAGATGTACAGAGTCCGGGAGGCCATTCCAACAGTGACGATGTTGATGGCAACGACTACTCGGAGCAGGTGAGCATCGTGGCCGAGCCGCGTGGCCCAAAAACGTTGAGTCCATGTGACACACGAAGAGACAAATGTACCTCTTGCAAACCACCGGTCTCTTGGTTTTGTTTTGCTTTTATGTAATTGCGACGGGGAGAGCGGAAGAGCTCAGCTCCCCTCTTCGAGTGACCCGAGAACCAATGCTCACCCTCGTGAATTTGTTGTCGCACAACAGGACGCTTGGCAAGTACGCAACGGGGAGGAGGAGGGAAGATGTTCGGAGGGAGGCAGAGAAGCAGAGAAGGTAGAAGACGACAGGAGGATCTGCTCCAAACAAGCAAGTTACACCATTCACGCCACACGCAATGTATGAAAGATGTTAGGAGAGCGTTACCTCACCCAGCGCGCCGCGCTTATTTGGCGCTCTCCTTACCCCCGGCACCGTTCTAGTTATCCGCCCTCCAGAAAGGACGTGCAGGTCTTTAACAGTTGCTCCTATATATCGGGCACCAATGTGCTTCCCTAAGAAACTAGACGTTTCTTTGGCAAGAAATGTCTTCCTTGTAGCCTGGGCTGAGATGTGGGTTGCTTACCTGGCACCCAGATGTGTGCAGCAGTAAGCACCTGCCCAAAATATTTAATAATCCCTTTTGTCACCCTTGCCCAGCAGGATACTGAGCACCCTCTGGCAAGCTACTGAGCTCGCTCTTGTTTTTTCTGCGGGAGTGTCCCAGGAGCCATCCCTAAGACACTGACAGACAAAGGGTGAAGGGTGGGGGGAAAGGATTTGATTAAAGTTCGAGATTTCTGTGGCCCCCATACCTGTTCTGTACTGTTCTGCAGCAATGTGCCCCTATTTGCATTGTTTACCTATTACCTGTTGGTTTGGTTTGGTTTTTTTTCTTTCTTTTTGCATTTTAACTCTTGCCTATTCTCTATTTTTCTTGGTTATTTTTAACCCTTGACAGCAACTTCTTTTTTAAATTCTCTAGCAAAAGAATACCCCTTCCCGCACTCTGAGCCCTCACCTACCCTAAAGTTGGTGACCCTTCCTTCACACACCTTCCTGACAGGTATTGCATCTCCTTCCCAATTTTCCTTCAGGTGTCAGTGTTGGCCAAACCCCCCCAGGGCTGTGCGTGCGTGGCACCAGTGCTCTTGCCCAGTTCACTTTTACTTGGTTCTGGTTTTGCTGTGAGCTCAGTTCTCTGCTGACACCCCAGAGCCGGGGCGGGCAGATCTTTTTTAATTTACTTTAATTGAGAAGTAGGCAGGTCTCCCTGTTTAACTGGTGGGATGTAAAAGCAACTGGGTTCCTGGAGTGAGTCCGTGGCAGACTTGGCGGTGGCCCAGTACAACAGATGTATGGCAGAGGCTCCGCTTCTGATGGGTATTGAGGCCCTTTTTGTAGGTCATCACCAGCAGATCTGGTGGAACCAACTTTGCTCTCGATGATGCGAGGCTGCTCCTGGACTGTTAGAAAATACCCCGAGACCGCTGCCGGGCGCAGATAATTCCTTGGCAGTCGCATCCAGGACGCGAATACCGAGAGGAAGAGTTACGTAGGCTCCCAAACTATATTTTTCTCCTGTGCGTTATCCAAAATACGATGAAAAGAGAAATAGATTGGGTATTAAAATTTGAAGATCTTTGTTTAGAGTCCTTAAAAACTGCATTCCTACATAATCTGTCTGGGCTCCTCTGTGAAGTGTAATTAGGCATTAGCAGCGAAGCGGATTAAGTGGCGGCTTCTCCCGATGACCATTTAACATCGCTCAGCTGTTAAAACCACAAATTCCGTTTTCCGCAGTGACGCTTAAACTCTAGTTAACTTTAAAACGCAAAGTTCATCCCAATCCTAATGAAGTGGCTGAAACTCCCGAAGGCGGGACTGTGTATTTCTTTACTGTGGGAAAGATTAGTGAGAGGCCCTTAGAGTGTGCGCACGTCGCAACGTTTGCTGCAAATCAATGCGTTCCTTTAAATAACCCGAGGATTTCACCAAATCCTGGCTTTTTTACCTGGCATTCGCCAAATCCTGGCTTTTTTACCTGGCATTTACCGCTTGTCATCTCAATTTAAAAGCGCGTAATGCATGTTTTAAATTTTCGATTCTGCAAGTTCATCACTTAAAGGCTATTGGGAGACTGATGGATGTTTATCATTTCCTTTCTGTAAGTAATAACACTTTAAAAAATCTGCAAGATCACGGCGTCGCAACTCTTAGTACCCGGTTTTAAAGAGAGGAAGACACCAGGTTTTTCCCAGGAGTTGCAGAAGTATTTCTTTGACGGCTGGAATTGCAGTGGGGATATTGCTGGTTTTCCTTATGATGACTGAAAACCAGACCCTGTTTCTGACACAGGCTGAGAAACTTGCACAACTCACTATAAAAATAATGCGAGAATTGTGGGATTTTTAGGTGTGCTGTTGTACGGCCGTGATGCACCTGCGGAGGGTGAAGCCTCCGAAGTCACTGCGTTGTTTTTCTTAATGGTCTAGGAGGTCTTCAGCATCTTTTTCCCTCTGTCTGTGTGAACTCAGGGTACTGGTTCAGACTGAGGGTTAGTCTGGGTTTGTGTCCTGTTTCTGAGGTGAGGTCAGCGGTAGTATTTAAAGAAAAAGTATTTACAGCAGCTTCGAGAGGCTTCCTGAGCCAGGCAGTTTGTCCGCTTTCAGTTTCTAGCAGACTTAATTTTCCCTGACCTGTTCTACCCCCTGCCTTTTGAAAGCCATTTATCATTTTTATCCGATCTAAAAATCGGTGAATCCTACAACTGAACTGTGAGAAGTGAAGCAGCGCTTCCCGTCGCTGCTTTGGAGCGTATTATGGTTCCAGTTCGATCACGAGAAGCCACGAACAATTGTTCTCTATTTACTAATTGTTCGTAATAAACATTTACCGTCTCAACCATTGGCCATTTCTTTTCCAAACTGAAGAACCCGAGTCTAATCAGCGTCTCCTCGTCAGGAAGCCAGCCCACGTCTCTCTGCCCCTGGGTTGCGTTCTCTCTACCTTTTCTAGTTCTGTTTTGTCCTCTTTAAATGGGATAACCAGACCTGTATATTCAAAACACGAGCGTGGCGTGAATTTGTGCAGCGCGGAATGATTCCTGTCTCTGTTTTCCTGCCATACCTCGTGTATCCCTTTTGTCTTTTATAATTTAATATTTTCCTCGGAATATCTCTCCCCCTTCCCTCAAATTTCTCTCTGGCAAATTGGGTACGCCACTCCTTGCCTTGCTTACCTTTGTCTGCACAGTGAGGGAACTCGGTCCTGATTCGAAGTTGTAAATTCCTTTCCCCCCGCCTTGTAAGGAACGTGCGATTCACTGCCCCTAGTCCGTTACTTTGCACACGCTAGTTTTATCTGCTGGTTTTCTGCTCGTGGAGTAACGATGCTTCTCTCTTCTCCTTTTCCGCCTGCGCAGGATGACAGCACTAGCCATAGTGACCATCAAGACCCCATTTCATTAGCCGTGGAAATGGCAGCGGTAAACCACACCATCTTGGCACTGGCCCGGCAAGGAGCCAACGAGATCAAGACAGAGGCTCTAGATGACGACTGATACTGGAAAAGGGGAGGGTCAAAGCAAGAAGTAACTTAGTTTTTAGACGTAGCACCTTAGCAGACTTTCCTCGGTCCTTAATATGTGTTCTTACAGTATAACTTTGCAGTTTCTTGTACGTCCAGTTAGCTGTTAGGGTCTTGTTCTGTGAAGATGGCATGGTGCCCTCAGCCTTTGCATATACTCTCTCAGTATTAATTCCCAATAAATAATCAATCAACCAGTCAACCTCCTTCTCCCAGCCCCAGTGGCTAGAAAAATCTTGCTGCTCTGTCTTAGCATTCAAAGTGCTTCCAGGTATTTTAGACAGCCCTCAATTACGAGTTCTTAGGCTACACTTAAAATCTTGGATACCCTTAGCGATTGTGTTTAAAAAAAAAAAAACAAAAATAGTCTGTACGCTTTTCCTTCTCTGAGACTGAAAGGATGCAAGCTGAGGTAGTGGCACAGGGTCGATGGACACCAGATCGGGAGTATCAACAGAGAGTAAAAAGAACACTAGAAACCCCGCTTCAGCGTGGGAGTAAATGATTTCCAGCTGCAATAAGCCGTGCCTCACTGGTCATACAGTGACTCGATCTACTTTTGGGTGCTGTGCTGAGAATGTCCGTTGGAAACACGTTCACACATTTCGGTCGGTGTTCACATATTCAACACAGACATCCTCCGCTCTCGCAAGCTGCGTGGCTTAGCGGATAAGTCCTGCCTTCTGCCTCTGGGACCGTGGTTGAAGCCCAGCCTGGGAGTCGTATGAAAAATGAGCTGAATGTCTGATGGACAACAGTCCGCTGCTCAAAACCACTATTGCTTACTTGGCGTGGCTCACGGTGCCTGCTCGGAAGAGGTCTAGACTCTCTCTCGATCTGTCGTTAACGATTCCACCTCCTATTCTTCCTCTCGCCTTTTCTGTCCTCGCCCTGCTCCCCTCTCCGCTTTGCCACTTTCAAAAATGGTGTTTTCCAGGAAGGTCGTTAAGGTCGTAAAACGGGTGAGTGGATTTTTACACATCTGTGTATCTAATGCCGATGCCCTTGACTAGCCTGAAAGGTTGTTGGAGAACTTTTTGCATCTGACCTTTGCTAGATAACCATCAGAGCATAAATATTCTCCTAAAGACGGACTCTTTTGGTTTGTTTAAAGGCAGGAGGATCTCTTCCCTGAGAAATGGGGTGTGAATGTTTTGTGTTCTCTTTACTCTGTCCTTGTTAAGATTGAGAAAGCTCTACTGCCACGAGCAATTTAATTAATAATTGGAAGCCATACTGATAATGGATGTGGTAATATTTGTAAAGCAAACCTACTTTAAGTAGCAGAAACTAACGGAATTGTTTTCCTTGATCATATGTAGCACTTTTGTTACTTTTTTCTTAAAGATATTTATATTTGATAAAGTCTTTTTTTTATCATTTGAGAATTCAAAATACCAAACAGCAAACTTGCATTACAGAGTCACCCTGCGATCACCTTGTCATCTAGTATCTAAATGATGAACTGTGTGTGCATCTAAGAAAATTACATCTGCTGGCATTGTGTGGAAATGATCTCCTGGCATCCTGATAAAATGATATGTTGCTGCCGGTAAGAGGAAACATTGCGATGGAAACAGCATGGGAAGCGTTTAGAGACGGGCAGGACTGGTGTTGCGTTGAAAAGAAAAATGAAAAACCTATGCAAATTTTTGGACGTAGAGGCAGGAAAATTTGCATAGCGTTTCTTTCCTCAACATTCCATTTTTCCCAGTTTATTTGGGAAGAGCTTAAAAAGGGGAAAACGGCTTAGCCTGGAGGATGGGTTTCCCTTTTCTCCCCTCCATTTTTAAGGTGGAGGGAATGAAAGGACGTCGGCGCTGCTCGTTCTCCTCCCTTCTTCCCGCGTCACTACCAGACGGCGTCGCGAGCTCCTGCATTGTGGCTCCTTGGTGGGTTTTTTGCCAGCTGAAAACCCTTCAAGGCGTGGGGTACCTAGATCCTCTTTCCATCTGTTAATCTTGTGAAAATGGCTTTGGCGAGTGTGGAGGAGGTTTTGTGCTTTCCGAGGGCACAGAGTTGGCACCTCTTTGTCCCTGGAACTGTGAAGATATATCAGTAGGGCTTGGCCTCGTCTTTCGTTTATGGATTTCATTGGAAAATTTATGTGCTTTCCTTAGGTATAGATCACTGAAGCAGAATGAAGCCGTCTTTTTTTTCTGTTTTATTGCATTTCTTGAGTAGGCAAATTCATAAGTAGCATCAGGGCAGACTCAGGAAAGAAAGGAATTGGATGGGCCACCACTGCAGTTTTTTTTCTTAATGTGTGTATGAATGGTTTGGTACTGAGGAGTGAAAGGACAGGGAGAGCTTTTATTTCTATTTTTGCACAGCAGAATGATCAAGCAAACTATAGCCTTAGTGGAATTTTACCTACTTATTCATTCCACAGTCACACAGCGAGCTGACAAGCAACATCCACGATTTATAGTAAGGAGATTTTAATAATCGATGACCTCTTTACGTTGGGCTTGCCACCACCATTTGTTCTGGCTGTTTCATTTTAAAAAGAACAGACTCAAACTGTTGGACAGCTGCAATTTTCCAAGAAATATTGCTTACTATACCGCCTTTAAAAAAGAAAAAGTCATTGTTTCAAGCATTACCTTTTTAAAGCAACAGGGAAGAATAAAAAGAGTGCTAGAACTTCTGGATCCTGATTATAGGTTCGGGTGATGCAGGATTTCAGTAACACCCCTAAAATTGTATGTACCGGCTAACGCAGAATAATCCGGACTTAATTCTGTCGCTGGCAGGTAGCTGCTGGTCTCCTCGTGCATCAGTATCTGAAGGTTAAACAGTGAAACCCCTTGTGAACAACTGGAGATTGGCAAATCCTCCTTGTCTGTAGCTTCCCTCTAGCTTCTTCTCAGCAGAGAAAATAACAAATGACTTAACGCGGGGAAGCAGACGCTTAGTTCCGTGGTGTCGGGTTTGGGGTTGCCTCTGTCTCTTTGGGCTTTTCTTTGACCATCAAGAGGAAAGAGTAAGACTTCAGCTGTGATCCAGATGCTCACGGCAGTCGATTTCCTTTATTCTGGAAGTTCAGAACGAACCCTTTGCAGTTGGCCAATAACTTTTGGGTTTGACGTGAATTAGCTAAAGGGAACAGACGGAGGCGTGGTGGTACCAGGAGAAGCGTACGTGATCTGGAGGAAGTGAAAGAATCGGTGGAGAGTATGTCTTGGAATTTAGCCTTTGTTCTAGGCTTTTTCCCGCATTGTGAGAGTCGTCTTTGTCTTTCTGTCTCTGGATTTTCTTGAAAATTATGCCTCATTTTCGTGGCGTTGCAATTCAGTTGCGATTCGTTGTGGCGATTTGTCCTTATGTGGGTTCCCTTGAAGCGGGTCTGGTGGCAGACTGGATCTACCTTTGCGTTCTGTGAACAGAAGAAATTATTTAAGATTTCTTCTCTCCTCTGCCATGGGCACAGATTGCTTTTAACTTCGTAGAATAAGTTCTGGCTGTTATTTTGTCGCTCATAAAGTCCTTATACTTGAGTTGTTGCCTCTTACCGTCTTCTTAAAACAACAATTTCTACCTCCGCTTCTTTTTTTGGGTTGTTTTGGCTTTTTTTTTTTGTTGTTTGGGTGGTTTTTTTTAAACTCCCCCAGCTTTTTAGAGGAGTATGTTTGCAAAAGCATTTTGAGATGCTGAAAAGAAGCCGACGTGGCAGTGAGTAGTCAAGTTACCCATTGATGCTCTACCATGATAGAGAAATCCTCTAAATATTCTATAAACATATGTGTCGTTACAGTATAATCCCATTAGTCTTGTGAGTCAGCAGCTCACCCTTGCAGCAATTAAGGAATCTCGTTAAGAAGAGCCTTCAGCAGGTGGAGGAAAGCGATTAATCCCCTCTGATCACCCTTTGTGGGACTGTGGGGTGGGAGTTTTGCGAGAGCTGCGTTCGTTCAGGCTGGCTCGGGCGGGCGTCTCGTGTCTTGTTCTGCAGCTGTCTTCGTGGATGGGTTTCGAGAAGGCAGAGCCGGGCTCTTCTCAGAGGCGTGGAGTGAAAAAAAAAAGACGAGGGGCAGTGGGTTCAAGTTGCATTCAAGAATATCTCAGATGAATATAAAGAGAAATATTTTCGTGTCTGGAGCTTTGGCCCAGGAAGGCTGTGGAAACCCCGTCCTTGGGGATATTCAAAACTCAACTGGACGAGGTTGGATCAGAGACCTCCAGAGGTCTCTTCTGACCTCAGTTATTCTTTGATTCTGTACAAACCTGCTCAGGTTGAGGTGTTTCCTAGTTCTGATCTAGACACGTTGACTTGTTTAAAGAAATCGTCTTGATTTCTTGTTGTGTGTAGGGTTTTTTTCTCTTTTTCTATTCATAAAAACTTATCTTTCCTAATCTACTAATAGAGGGGAGTTTTATTTGCAGGGTCTGACTCCAGGCTCCAAATCAAGCCATAAGTAATAAATTTCATTAATTTTTTGCTCTGTTTACACAGTTCTTCAGGGATATTTGAATTATTCTGTTTGTTTCGTTGCCTAACACCTGACTGGTAAGTTTGCCATGTTTTCGTAACGTTTGTGCTGTAGATAGTTTTTTTGCCTTCGTTTGAGAGGATTTATTGTTCTCTTGCTGCTGAGAGTGCAGGTGAAAAATTTCACATAGCTGACCATATTAGAAAAAAAACTGTAGTTAACTGAAACCTACTGGTGACTACTGTGATAAGCTCGAAATTTTTGCTTCGATAAATCCTTTATTGGTGATTACCAGAAGCTGAAAAAGGGCATGAGGGGGAACGAGTCACGTTATACTTGCTTGGATCCTCCTTTTCTTTCCTTAAGTGTTTGCTCTTGGCCACTGGTAGGGAAAAACCACACTTCACCGGAGCGGCTTTGGGTCTGATTTCGATGTTATTTTGAAGAGAAATCACAGTGATTTTTGCTGTTACGGACTGACAGGGCAGTCAGACTCCTGAGTGTTAATTTCTGCCTTCAGGGTGCATAAGAACATGAGGAGGAGTTCGCCGAGATTTTGAGTTTCCCCTTGATGGTGTTAAAAAAAAATCTTCCTTTACGATGAGATGCCGCTTGCGAAGGAGTAAAACGAAAGTGTCGGCTTCGCCTTCCCCCAGAGCAGTTGAGTCGCTGAGGCATGGAGTTGTTGTAGCTGGGTTTCGTAAGGAAACTTTCTTTATTTTTCATATAAAATCAGTTTTACACTTTTCAAAGCTCAAAGTCGTCGCCCCTGAAGCACTTAGCGCACGATGCTGTTTCC